TAAAAATTGATGAAAATAATGTTTTCCACAATGAAACCTTGAAATGTGAGTGAAAATGCAAAGAATTGAAACGTGATGACGTTTTGCACCCTAAGAATCAAACGTATGGACATTTTGTGCTAATATATCTTTTTTACTTTTGGAAATCTAATGTGATTTAATTAGAAATAACTGTAAAAATATCAAAAATTACGTGAGATAAAAATTGTGTGAATAATATAGAAGAAAATAAATATTTATAACTAAAGATTAGATACTTTAAAAACTAAAAATCATACTAGAATTTTTGAAAAAAATATATATATATAGGTCATTTGATTGAGATTGGAGATAGAGTTCAATAGCCTTTCTTAATTTATTTGTAGCTTACTTTTTTTTTTAATAAGTACTAGATTTGGTACATTTTAGTGGCTAGGTTATCTGGCCTATTTTGATATGGGTAATGATACGCAAACCACATTTTTTATTTTTATTTTTATTTTTATTTTTGCACAACATTTTAATTGTACTTAAGGTTCTTAATCTTTGCTCATTATAGCACTTATATCTCTAATGATTTTTTCTTTATTTCAAAACATGAAAACAAAATATTTTGATAGAAATTATCATCGAGGACGATACGTTTTAATTAATGAAAGATTAAATATAAGAATTCGATGAAAAAAAGTTAAGAAAATAACTGGTACAATGAATAAAGATTGAGGATCTTAACCACAATTAAAATATGGTGTATCAAATAAAATTGTGGTAGTAGTATAACCACCATTTTAATATTATTAATTCCTCCTCTTTTTGTTCCTTTGTGTGTGTATTTCTCATTTATACCTTGTTTAACAACCAATTGAATGAGTTTTAAAATAGTGATTTCTTAGAGAATGTGTGGTTAAAAAAATAGGAAAAAGTTTTGGATGTGTACAAAATATTTTATTGTGAGAATATGTTGTTGAAAATGAGTTTAAAAAAAAATTATTTTTAATGATTATCAAATAAGGGCATAATGTATTATCCTCCGAAAGCATTCATGAAATTATCGCGACACAAAAAAAAAATTATATCACTACTATACAAGGATAACATGCACACATCGAAAAATTGTTATGTAACATTAATATTCCATTTCAATTAGTGGGCATATTGGGAATAAAGTTAAAAAAAAAAAAGAGTCTATTTTGGTAGACGCCAAATGACCCTCAATTTTCTAGAGAGAGAGAGAGAGGAAAAAGGAATTAAAAAAAAAAGGAAAAATAATTGTGGATTTGATTACATTTATTTTCGATAGAAAATATCAATTTTCCACTCATATTCACAATTGAAAGTGTTTGATTGTTATTTCTTTCATTAAAAATATTTTTTCTACTTTTAAAAATATGTTTAATTTTCATTTTTAAGGAAAACATTTTTTTTTTGGAACAGATCCTCGAAACAAGAAAAATATTTTTTTTATGAGATATTTTTCATGTCAATCAATTAATATAAACGTTCAATTTGCACGTTTATTTTATAAACAATGTACAAATAATATTGAAGATTAATTAAGCCTCTGTTTGACACCCATTTTTGACAAAAATAAATTTTGAAATAGTGATTGATGGAAGAATGTGTAGTTAAAAAGTAATGGAAATTTTTGGGTTTATATGTAGTATTATTTTATTGATAGAATATGTGGTTGAAATGAAAAAAGAGAAAAAAAATAAGAATCAGAATAAAAAAAAATGGTGTCAAACAGGGGCTAATACTAAAATCAGGCAACGAGCAGGCCCCAATGCTGATAATTAATAATTATTACATAGTACACTCCGTCCTAAATTTTCAGAATTTCATTTGTCTGTCTTCAGATATTTATATTTATTATACATGCAAAATTCTCTATTTTGGCGACTCGTCCAAGTCTTTGTACGTATTTTCTAGACAGAGTCCTCTTCGTCCCCAGTAAATTGTTCGCTGGTCTATGCGTTCAGACACTTCAGTTTTGCCATCTTCCTGTTTCTTCTTGCTGACCTGAGCATATAAATGGCGGTGTTTCAAATACTGGGCTGCGATTAGATTGAGGTTTGAGAAACCCAGGTTTGGTTTTAATGCTACTTTTCTTTTCTGCCCTTTTTGTGAGTTCCCTTTATAATTGCTGAGTTCCTTTGTGACTATCTGTTTAACGGGATTATTGTCTCTCTAGATTTGTGGGAGGTTATCTTTCGACATGTTTTTGGAGAGTAGTATTTGACTGAAATTATTTATTTAATTTTACAGTGTGAAAAATAAATTTTGTATGCAATCAATTAGACTTTGGGGTGTCTTCAAATCTTGATTGTGTTGGGATAAGGCTTCAAATCCCAAAAGAAATTAACTTTCTTAGATTAAAAAACCAAAAAAGTTTGGATTTTTGAACTCCCAAAACGTAATGGGATTATTTTCTTGAATCAACACATAAGAAGCATGGGAATTTACTCTTGTAGGGTGTTTTAGTGGCCCTCCTCACCAAGCAAGCAAGCTTACTTCCTCTCCTTTATCCTTCTCTCTTGTATCCTCTTAGATGCCCTTTGGAAAAGATGGAAGTCGCCTCCTTGGAAGATTTTCTTAGTTGTTTTGAAAAGAGCTAATTTTGGAGTACATTCTCCAAGAACCGTAGCCTCCGTTCCCCTTTTACTATGCGAACCCCAGATCCTCAAAAGATGTGCCTTCAAGTGACCTATTTATAGTAGGTATGTTAATTGGGCGGGTATGGGACTGGTCGACTATTCTCACTATCGTCCCGTCTGGTATTTTTTTCATCTTGCCCCTCCCCATACCCGGTAAAGCGGGACAGAAAGGATTCTGGAGGGGACGGGGGTGGGACCTGCCCCATTTATCTTCCCGTTGATTTTTTCTTTTTATTTTATTTTTTACTTGTATTTTTTTATATCTTTAGTTAGTAAATATTATTTTTTTTTCCAATTTGTTAAGAACAACTTATGTTCTCTTTAAAAATGATGATAAATCTTTTACTTTTGCTTGATAAAAAGTTTAAATTTGAAATTAAGTTTAAACGGGCAGGTATCAGGGCGGGGACTATGTTTCTCATACCCACTTCAGGGCAATGACCCCCATCCTATTTTACCCGGTTAGGTGGGTAATCCGGGCCCACGGGAATTGAGTTGAACGGATTTTTTATGATCCCTAATTTATAGGCTACACGTAAGATAACACTAAAGAGGATCAATTACACACGAACAAGTCTTGGTGTACAGGGATTTTTTCACAGGATTTACGGGGAGGGTAGGTGGCTGTTTTTGATCGGAACATAACACAAAAAAAGGACCAACCAAGTGCTGCCAACGCAGCACCTGTTGGCATTCTGTCAGCAATTCCCTTGTACAAGGTGCTGATTACACTAATACAATAGTGTAATCTTGTTATTTGCACCAATTTTCCTTTAATTTATTGAAGTTTATCAATTAAGTCCTCCATCTATATTGGAGCCAAGAGAAAGACCAAACCAGACTCATAGTAGTTGAGCTTCAAAGATACTGTCTTCAACATTGGTCAACTCATGACCAATTGAGATTTATCTATTAATTTCGGTTTACTCCATTGAAGAACCCAAACTATACTCTCGTCTCAAGTGACTATTATGCTAGTAAGTATCGAGATGAATCTTCCAAACAAGATCTCACCCATTGTATCTTAAAGAATTTGAGCTAGCGATTAAGTGTGTAATACTCGCTCAGGATTTAGGTCGCTTGTTTGTTGATCGAATACGTTAAAGAATTTGAGCTAGTAATTAAGTGTACAATATTTGCTTAGGATTTAGGTTACTCATTTGATGATCGAGTAGAGTCTTATTCCTAGAAGTCACAAATAAGTTATTTACGCGGTTCCTTTCAATGTGTTCCAGACGCATCATGTTCTTATTACTCATATCTAGACAAATTCAAATAAGAATAATGCAATTCTATCAAGATAAAGCATCCAACTTTATCAACCAATTTCGAATTATATGTTTTTTATCACGTCACAAATTGTGTCTCACACCCAACCTATCAAGTATACAATTTGCAACATATCTTGTTATCATGGGGACTGAGATAAATGACCCAAATTAAATATGCGAATAAATTATAAAATCTAATTATTATTTATAACGTTGCTTACAAATTTCTCTAATGGCACCATACTAACAGTTTGATTCATCATGTAGTTAGTAGAGTGCAAATGCCAGGAAGTCCAAGTCCAATTCAATAATGGTTAGTTGTTAATGATAACTGGTGCAATATAGCATAAGAATTATAAAACGAGTATAGAAATATTTAGTAACTAAAAAGCTAGCTATCCATCCTTATCAAACATATCCATATGAACACAGCTTAATCTGAGTGGGCTGATGATTGAATTGGAGAAGGCAGGGGTTTATTTCTTTATATGACCAGGGATGTTTCTGGGAAATAAGATAGATTTTACGTCCTCTGAATATTTAGTTAGTTGCTGATTTTAGCACCAATGTCAAAAATTGTTATAATTTCCATTTAGTACAAAATTGATCTAGATAGAGTGGAAGATTTTATTCTTCAGTCATTATATGGCATCTAATACATCAGAAGTTTAGAAACTTTCAACTTATGTAAAAGGAAAAAGGTGAAGAAGGCAATGTGAAACTCACCAACTTGTTCCTGGATGTTCACCACTTATATACAGTAAACTGGAGTTGCCGAAAAAAATTTGCTATTGGCATGGTCTTGAGCGTCACTACATTAATGTATTCTCCTGTTATTTTATTTTATTAAATTTAAGCTACTGATTTTAGGAATGGATGCTTGATCATTACACTTGCAAGAATTCACTCTTTGGATTTTCACTCTGTTGCCATTAGAAAATTTTAGCACGATGCTTGAATATGGAGCTTAATGGTCACTCTTCTGATGTTCTAAAAGCATTAAATGTGTATCTTGGTTGTTACTAACTAAACCTTCAATATTTGATATATTCTCCAACCAAATGTTTAGTATCTCTCCCAGATATATTCTTTGAGAATGGATGCTTCTGAAAAGGATGAGGTACCAATGCTATCAGCTGCTTATTTGCATTCAGATGAGCGCAATGACTCTCAAATCAGGGGTTTTACATCCAGGATGAGGAGTGCATCAATGTCCAGTGTTATGAACTCTATGGACTTCTCTGATCATGAGAACACTTTCTTAGGTTTCACTGGTCCACTGAAAAATGAAAGACGGACTTCAATTGGACAGCTGAGTGGTCCATTGTACATTAGTCATAAACATGATGGCATCTTTAGGCCTGCCCAAGCTGCATTAAGGCAAAAACCCGCTGAATCCAAAGTTGAAAGATATCCTTCAATAGACGGGATGGATCGTAAAGATAGAACATATGAGAACTATGCAGGGAAAAATGAACATCTTTTGAGGTCTGGACAACTGGGAATGTGCAATGATCCCTACTGCACGACATGCCCTACTTATTACAATTTTAAGGCGCAACAGAAGAATTCTAGAACCTCAGATGTATTCGATGCTAAGGTATTATACTTGTTCCATCAATTTTCCTCAAGAAAGATTTCAGATATATATTCATTTGGGTTCATTTATATTGCTTTTTATTGCATTCATGGGCATGACATGTCACATAATTATGTTTTCACCACAAACAAGCTTTTATTGTTTGTGTGAAATTGGGAGTTTGGAATCTTCTGATCAAGTTGTGCTGTATTATATTATACAAAATTGCATTTCATTTCAGGGAGCCTAGCATGTGTACCGTAATTGTATTTATCTTCTTATTTACTGGTCTCATGAATACTGGTGACTTGCAAACTGCATCATAGTTAACTATATTTTATGTGTGTTGATTTTCATGGACTTTTCTGTTCTGATGCATTAATGACATATTTCTACTAATATGTTGAAAAGTGGTCACTAGCTTCTATGACATGAATATTGAATGGAATTGTACTTAAAACAAATGGTAATTCTAATGGAAGAATCCCAGAATATAATAATTCAGAGATTTCCAAGGTACATTTGATCCCATGATGTTGTCAGAAAATTTGAAGCCTTTTTATACTATTATCTCTGGAAGAAAAACTAAATTATGGTTTATTTATGTAGTAAATCTTGCTTAAAGATCAATGCTCACCATAAATTAATGCAAATTGATACCTCAATGGCATTAATATAGGACCCCAATCAAAAGAGAGCAAAAGGAGAGGAATTCAGGTAGGTCAACTTGGCATATACAATTTGGACGACGTCGATACTTCCTATATTTTAAATTGATCCAAATGTTCTAGCCAAGTCTGAACAGGTTGAATTCATTGCTGCCACATTCTGTACCTGTGAATTTTGCAATTTAATTTAGACAAACAGGTTACTGCTACACCTTGAAGCAAATGACCTTACCGTCTAAAAGTGTGAACTATTACAGAGAACTGTATTGTAACTCTATTTGGTTTGATATTCAACATGTTCCTCATTACATGGACAGGTTCTTGCTACATTGCCCATGCATATAGTAATTATGAATAGGAACTGGTGAGATTTACTCGGACTTTATCGACCTTACTGTGTCTAATCTCTTCTTCATCCCAAGCTCGAACTGTTGGCACTACTAAAAAGAAGAAAATAGAGAGTTGACACTTAGGTTTTATCATTTTTCAAGGGAGTTAGGAGCTACAGTCCTTTTACATCATGTCTATGCCGCAATCATGATGCCGTGTGCTACGTTGTTTTTCTTATTAAGTGGCATGATACATAATCCTTCTGATAGAAACTGATTTTGTAGACTGGAGGAAAGATTATTCAAAGTACTTCGTATATTTCTTGTAACTAGTTTAGCTATTATTGAGTGCTTCTAACCAAAATCTTCCCGATATTTTCTCCCTACTACTCATAGTTAAATGTGCATTGTACGTTATTTTGAAATCTTTTATTAGTTCTTTAAAAATATTATTTTAAGAAATTAAGTTAATATAAAAACGATAGTTATATTGCATACTACAAATATAGCCCAGTTTGATGGCCATTATTTGTTCAAAATAATGTTTTGAATAGTGAAATTTTGGTGAATGTGTGCTTAAAAATTAGAGAAAAATTTTGTGATTAAAAATGAGTATGTAGAATAAAGAGTTTTGAAATACTTGTTATCAAATAGGGGCATAATTTAAAAAAATACATGTCTAAAAATGAAATAAGGGCAAATATTGATTATAAGAGTGAAGTGCATAGCCCCATGAAGATGAATTTTAATTAGCATACATGATAGCTAATATTAATTAATTTAGAATTAGAATTGATGACGCTAAAACTGAAACTGAATGAGAGATGCAAACCCGTGAAAATAAATGTTAATTAGTATACATGGACGTAAATAATGAAATTCGTATTTTAATTTGAGTATTAGAATTACTATTATTTGCATAAATGAAGATGAATGTTAAATACGATGCATGGATTAATGTGAATGTTAATTAATTTAGAATTAATAACATGGAATACATACATGAAGATGAATGTTAAATCATTTATACTAAATGAATAAAATTTAATTTTCAATTGAGTGAAACTTGATGGTAATTATAATGCATGAATGTGAATAACGAATTTCATTCTTGAATGTGAAATTCTAACTAATATTAATTAAATAAATGTGAATGTAAATTAATTGAAAATCAATAACAAGAACGTGGACATGAAGGTGAATGTAAAATTCTAATTAATATTAATTGAATGAACCATGAATTTTAATTAATTGAGAATGAATTACAATGAAATAAGGATTTTATAGTATTTATTACAGTTTGTAAATTAAATAATTATTGAAAAATGAAAAGTCAAGTATTATTGAAATAATTGAATTGTAATATGATTATAATCGTCAAAAAATGATTCTCACTTGATGTGATATTTAATATATTATATTATATATATGTTATTTTATAATACAGAATTGGTACGTAATGATCAAATGATTGATGATAATAATAATAGAGGGAGTTGAGTGACCAGCTATAATTTGTTTAATCCTAAAAAGGTGGTAAATGAGAATAGGATGCCTAAAAGGGCATATCATCCAAAAGCATGTCCTGCAAATCTATTAATCTCATCAACTTAATGCTTAACAAGTTTGATATATGTACAACAAAATCGTTCTCCTTAACTAATGGTTTAGTTACACATCAAAATAGAAGAAAGACACAAAAATGATTTCGAATACATCAATGAGTTTAAAGGAAAAGAGAAAAATATGAATTTCTTGCACCAAAAATCCGCTTTTTCCATGTCAAGATCTTGAAATCCGAGCTTCTTCTTTCTCTATTCTCTTCTATCTTTTTTTTTTTTTTTCACTTATCATCTCATGTGTAATGTGTAACCCTTCTATTTGACCTAGATATGTCTTTATATAGCACTCGAACGGCCTTTAAAGTCGTGCCCAAAAAGGACAAAAATAATCTCAAATTGAACATGTAAAAACCTTAAAATTTCAAGGCTGACTTGCGGTTTGCACACCACAGTCAAATCCTTCACGTTGGGCTGATCGCGGCAAACATTCGATTCTTTGGACTGTGGACAGACCGCGGTTGCAAACTACAGTCTCAACTTTNATTATAATTAATAACACTGAAATGCATAAGTGGAGATGAAATGTTAATTAAATGAACGTGAATGTCAATTAATTGAGAATTAATAACAGTGAATATATAACATGAATATAAATACATTTATACTTGATGAATATAATTTATTGTCCATCAAGTGCACCGAATTTTTCAACTATACATTGATGATAGTTAAATAGTTGAGAATATTTCATGATAAATGTTTAAACGTGTCGAGAAAAGAAAATTTAAGGTCATTTTTGAAATAGTTTTAAGTATTGTAAGGGCACAATCATCCAAAAAAATATTTTTTACTTATCGTGACATTTAATATACTCTAGATATAGATATGTATGGATGCTTTAGACATGTAAAGTTCGTCAATCGAGTCATGCCACTTGGTATTGTGTGCTTGTTTGCAGTTCCACAATATGCTCTACGGAGATGCAAAGGGTTGGGCAAAGAGAGTTTGTTCTATTGTGCGTCCTTATATTCCAGGAGTCATGAATCCTCATGCAAAAGTTGTTCAGCGGTGGAACAAGTTTTTCGCAATCTCTTGCTTGTTTGCAGTATTTTTAGACCCACTATTCTTCTTTCTGCTGTCCGTCAAGCAGGTATACTACTGATGGTTATGTTATATAGGTTATGTACTTGTGCTCATTATACAGATTGTTTGCTTTTATGACCTATATTTATTTTCAAATATTTATGTGATTTTTGATCTTTGGTAGTTGGTGGCATATCTGGATACGAGTAACAGATATCATTATCATGAGAGAAATTGTGCAATTCATTGTTTTTTTCTTTTTTTGGTCTATTTAAGAAACATTTTGTATTTTTTTTATTATACCCTTTAAGTTGAAATATATTAGTTACCTACTTGTAGCCATTATTATAGTTAGGGACTAAAGTGCAATTTTCTTTTCTTGTATATACCTTTGTTTACGATATCAATGAAATTAGTTTTTACCTCCAAAACTCTACTTGGTATCAGAGCCGGCGAACCCTTCCTGCCGGCGAACCCTTCCTGCCGGTTACCCAGGCGTACCCAGGCGCCGGCGAACCCTTTCCTGCCGGTTACCCCCCTTTTTCGAGCCTTAGAAGTTTTCCCGATGATTCCGTCTCTCCGGTTTTAAGGAACCGACCGACTCTGCCAACCGCGAACTGGAGACCGGCGTTACTGGAGCGAGAGACAGATTTGGACGACCTGGGCTTACCCCTACTGTCCTTGGTTGAAGCATTGGAACTCATTTTTTCTTCCACTCTTGTGATTTCGAAATTGGAANAGGCAAGAAAACATGGTTGGTAAAAGTGAAATTAAGTTGAAACAAACTGAGAAACTGAGGTCGAATTAAAATATAGATTGAACTAGGAATGGTTTTTAAGTGTTCATTATGATCTCATATACCCAGTGTGAAGAGGAAAAAATGATGAGAATTGTAACGACCCTGGTCCCACTTAACGGGCTGTCCTGGCAGTTAGATCGACGACGTACTGTCCCCACTGTACTAACATGGGTCTTTTCAGCATACTTTGTCCTCACTCGCACGCTCCTCGAGAAAACTTCCCAAGGGGTCACCCATCATAGAATTGCTTCAAGCCAAGCACGCTTAACCGTTGAGTTTCTAACGATGGATTTCCGGAAAAGAAGGTGCACCTTGTTGGTATGAGTAGTACCTATCAAATCTTTTAAACTTTCATGGTCTGGGTATTACAATCACCCCCCATTAGACTCGCGTCGTCCTCGTCGCGCTTGATCCATT